TTTGCAAACAAGACTTCACATTCGCAAAGTGGGACAAGGGGGTACAATGATCGTAATTGCGATCAAACGGTCGCATTTGCGGAAGATCAATGTTCGCATTTGCGAACAAATCATCGCAAATGCGATGACAGCAGAAATAGAAGGACTTCGCATTTGCGACTGTTTCTTCGTATTTGTGGGTTTCGCACTTGCGAACCCCAGGTCGCAAATGAGACATTCGCGACTGATCAAATAGGAGTTAGACGGGATTTTTGTTCATCCTTCAAATTTTCAAAACAAGAAAACCCTAGAGACGATTTTCCCAAGCACCCTTCTTCCCCAAATCATTGGTTGGTGATTCTAATCCATTTTCTTTCAATCTATCACTATATTTCCTAAAATTTCAACCTAAAATATTGTGCTTTCATGGGGGAAATTGGGTGTTTGGGTAGAATTAGGGATTTTTGTAAAATGGGGATTTGGACCTCAAATTGAGGTCGGATTCCAAAACAAATTACATAATCGGGCTCTGGGGTGGATGGGTAATCGAGTTTTGGTCCGAATTTCGGGTTTGGACCAAGCAGGCCTGGGAGTTAACTTTTGTTGACTTTTTCAATAATGACCTAAATTGAATCCTTTGCAATCGTGGGTAGTTCCTACTTCCTAAGGCTTAATTTGAATCGTTTGGTTGGTAATTTGCTAAATTCTATTGGTTCGGAGGCTTGTTTGAAAGGAAAAGTTGTGGTTGAGCTTTGAGTGGACCTTTGGAGTGAGGTAAGTGTCGTGGTTAACCTTGACTTGAGGGATTAGAACTTGTTTGTCTATTTGCTACATGTTTAGATGTTGGGTACAAAGTATATGTGAGGTGACGAGTACTTATGCGTTGTTGTTGGGTTAAAGCATGCATGTGGGACTTGTTCCTTGCATTTATTGCTTACTTTTATCATGCTATTCATGCTTAGACTAGTTATTTGCTAAATTGATAGTTCTTCCCGTGTTTATGGGCTTCGTGATAATTGAGTATTGATTCCAATATTGAGATTGGTATTGTGGAACCATTGTTGAAGTATGGCTTGTTCTTGTTGATCTTATCTCACTGTTTTTATTTATTCATTGTTATGTGTAAAGGAGAGTGTTAATGCACGAAGGGTGATGCCATGCCGTATGTGAGTGTTAATGCACGAAGGGTGATGTCGTGCCATATTGTGAGTGTTAATGAACGAAGGGTGATGTCGTGCCATGTTATGAGAGTTAATGCACAAAGGGTGATACTGTGTCGTATCTACTGATTTATACTAAGAGTGAGAGTAAAAGCACGAAGGTGATGCCGTGCAGAATCATTGTTTCATTATGTGGTTGAGAATAAAAGCACGAAGGGTGATGCCGTGCAATTTTCTTCATTATGCTTCATTGTTTTTACTAGTTAAAGGCATATTGACTGTTCTGGCTATCATTTCCGCTGTATCTCTCGTATCTTGTATCCCCTTAGCATGTCCCCCTCCTAATACTACATGTTTAGCTTTTATTTTTATTATCTTGTACATATATTGTTATCTACACAGGTTTATTATGTAGGTGTATTGTCATAACCTCGTCACTACTTCGTCGAGGTTAGGCTCGAAACTTACGAGTACATGGGGTCGGTTGTACTCATACTACACTCTGCACTTCTTGTGCAAACTTTGGTACCGGCCCTAGCTGTTCGTGAGGCGTAGCGCCTTGGATTTGCTCATTGGAGACTCGAGGTAGATCTGCTGGCGTCCGCAGACCTTGGAGTCCCCTTCTATTTTCCCTATTTTACTGTTTCTTTTCATTCAAAGCAGTTGTATTTCTTTCAAACTCTGTTTGTAGAAAATCTTAGAAGCTCGTGAGTTGTGACTCTAGATCCGGATTGTAGTAGATAGTATGGGCATATATATTATTTTGCACTCGATTTATTTCATTTTGGCTTGATTGAATTTATTTGTTGAAACTTAATAACAATTGACTTAACGGTTCTCTAACGTTGGCTTGCCTAGCAAGTGAAATATTAGGCTCCATCACGGTCCCGAAGGTGGAAATTTCGGGTCGTGACATGCTTCTTTTTCCGTACATGTCATTTTTTAATCTATACATGCAGCTTAATTTATTTAAAAATAATAATAGTAAAGACACATATTTTGTATTTATTATAATTCGGTGCCAATAATAAGTAATGAACTGGGACGGTTTCATCCTTTGTCCCAACTGCGCTTAATAATAGTAATATTTGTTTCAAAGTTTATAGAGAGGTAAACCAATTGGATGATCAAACCATGACCTATTTTCTGAATTTTATATCCAATTTTATAACAAAATTTCAAATATTGGTTTTATTATTTTTTAAAGTTCTGATGCATTTCTTAAACATATCTTTCATTCGATAGCTTACAAAAATTGCATACTTAGGAGCTTCTATTGACGCATTCTCTCTATAGGTTCTCGGCGGACGTTATGCTAACGTACGTCGTTTGAGAATCAGCCATGGAGAGAAAGCGAAGCCGGGCAAAACGAGACCCACTCGTGACAGTTGGAGAAGCAGTAAGCGCAACATTAATAGCAGATACATTAGCTAAAGGTAATACACAACAAATAACTACTCTGATTGGCAGTCAATTTCAACCTAGCTTGCAAAAATTGGGATCTTCAAGCACAACAACAAGACCGTGAAATGGCTAAACCTAAGCGCAATCCATTTGAATGTGGCATCATCATCCTGTGAAGGCACGCCAGTGAACAAAGTAGTGGAAAATACAGAGGCCAATGGGAAAATTCTAGAGATAGAGCCAAAAATCAATGGAACAGTACAAGCGGAGGAGGCTACCAAACCACAACCAGTGCATGCAGAGCCACCACGGGAAAACCATGGGTCAATCTTATCGCAGGTAATAGATCTTCAGAAAATGGTACTGCACTCTCTTATATCCCCCCCAAAGATGATTGATGGTAAGATTGTGGTGAAATTGGATAAAGATGAAATTGAAAATCAAACTAAGAAGTGGCAGTGTGTCCTAATTGTTTATGTAATTGGGGATACACCTGGTTATAAATTCATGCAGAGATACATAGCTCAAAATTGGAGTCAAGTGACTGCTCCAGATCTGTTTCTTCGTGAGAAAGGGTATTACATTGCTAAATTTCATACACTTGAAGATTTGAAGAATATTCTATATGGAGGTCCATACATAATTAATGGTAGACCAATGATCTTAAAATATTGGTCCCCTGAATTTGACCTTACGGCTGAATTCTTGACTGAAATTTCACTGTGGATCACACTACCAAAGTTGCCAATGAGTTGCTGGGGAAATAAGGCTCTAAGTAAAATGGCAAGTGTCATCGGAAACCCACTCTTTGTGGATGAATGCACAACAAAGCAGATGCGCATACCCTATGCAAGAATTCTGATGGAGGAAAATGTCACTAAAAAGCTTCCAACAGAGTTGACACTACAACATCCATCTGCAAGAATGTTCAAATAACAGGTGATATATGAATGGAAACCACACTATTGTGCTGAGTGTATGAAGATTGGCCATGATTGTGAACTGACTAAACGAGAAAACAAAGAAGAGCAGCCTAAAAAAGGAAAAGACAGGATAAAGTCACAACAAGATGGCAAGTTAAAGGGCAGGGACAACAGCCTTTAGTTGAGCAGAACAATGCCTCAACCAAAACACAAGCACAAGATCAACCTACTGTGACAACAACTAATGAGCCTAGCGTCAAAACTACAACAGCAAAGGACAAAGGGAAAGCAAAAGAAAGCCAAAATCAAGGACTGAATATAGAATGGCCAGCACTGACCAGTAACAGGAAAATTGTACCAGGGGCAACTTCAGTATCAACTCATAATGGATTTCAAATCCTGTAGAGAGAAGAGGAGAGAGTTGAGAATCATATGCCTCCTGATAGAGGAGGTGGAGATACACTACAACAATGACTTGGTTGATTTGGAACATTAGGGGTTTGAATAAGCGATATAAGCAAAAAGAAATAAAGCAGTACATAAAGGAAAAACAAATAAAGCTAGTTGGTCTAGTAGAAACAAAGGTGAAAGAAGCTAAAGCAGACACATTACTCTGATACATTTGTAGACCGAGAAAGGGAATGGCTACACAAACTGGAGACATGGTCACTTGTGGAAGAAGGGATTCTATAGTAGAAGGCTCGAGCAACTTGGATCAAATTAGGAGATTCCAATAATAAATTATTTTCAGCTGTCATAAAAGAAAGGCAACAAAAGAAACAGATCACTGAAATACAAGCTCTATCAGGTTTTACTATTACAGAACCAGCAGCTATTAGGGAGGAGATAATACAATTCTATAAAAGTATGATGGGGTCTAGGGCCAATAAGCTACCTGCTGTCAATATGATGGTTATGAAGAATGGGACAATTCTAACACATCAACAGCAAATAGAGTTAAATGCAGATGTGACTGATAATGAGATATATGATGGGCTGAAAGATATTGGAAGTGATAAAGCGCCTGGAAATAGATGGCTATAATGCATAATTTTTCAAGAAAGCCTGGCTTGTGATCGAAGAGGAAGTGTATGAAAAAGTGAAAGAATTCTTTCACACAGGTGTAATGTGTCCAGCTATCAACCGCACCGCTATAACCTTGCTGCCTAAGATCCCCAATCCTGTGACAATCAAGGATTTCAAGCCCATTGCTTGTTGCACTGTATTGTAGAAGTTGATATCTAAGGTCATTGCTGGAAGATTGCAAAAGATAATTCCACACATCATCTCTGAAGCTTAAGCAGAATTTATCCCAGGGAGAAAAATAGTAGATAACATAATATTAGCCCATGAACTTGTCAAAGCATACAACATGAAACATATATCTCCCAGATGCATGCTGAAGGTGGACATGATGAAAGCTTATGACTCAGTGGAATGGATATACTTGGAGAAGCTTATGGAATACTTGGGCTTTCCTACAAAATTCCTCTAATGGGTAAAAACATGTATGTCAACAGTGAACTACTGTATCATGATTAATAGAGAATTGACAAAGCTTTTCAATGTTGCTAAAAGGCTTCGACAAGGTGATCCCATGTCACTATTCTTGTTTGTAATTGCCATGGAGTATCTGAGCAGGCTACTTAGAAGATTGAAGCAAACAAAGGAGTACAAATACCATCCAAGATGCAGCAAGTTTAACATAACTCATCTCGGTTTTGCAGATGATCTACTCATGTTTGCCAGGGGTGAAACTGGTTCTGGGCAAGCTTTGCACCACTGCTTCAGTCAATTTTCTGTTGCTTCTAGTTTACAAGCTAATCTAACAATGAGTGCTATCTATTTTGAAGGAGTGGCAAAGCCAGAACAAATGAGAATACTACAGAGTATAGGGTATTCACTAGGGGAGCTTCCTTTCAAATACTTGGGGATTCCTTTAGACACAAAGAAGTTAACTATACTTCAATGCCAACCGTTGGTAGGGAGAATTGTATCAAGAGTATCTTCTTGGACTGCTCGGAAACTATCGTATGCTGGTAAAGTGCAGCTTGTGCAGACTGTTCTATTTGGCATCCAATCTTACTAGGCTCAATTGTTTATTATACCATCAAAGGTTATGAAGTTGATAGAGGCCTATTGTAGAAGTTACATATGGTCTGGCACCAATACAATCACAAAGAGAGCATTGATAGTTTGGGATAAGATGTGCCTACCTAAATCAGTAGGGGGCTATAACCTGACAAATCTCCAAGTGTGGAACAAGGCAGCAATCACTAAAACATACTGGGACCTGGCTCATAAGGAGGATAAAGCTTGGATAAGATGGATTCATGCATACTACATCAAAGGGCAAAACATACTTCACATGGCTATCCCACAACAGGTAAGTTGGATGGTGAGGAAGATATTGGATGCTAGGAAAATGAACATCAAATACCAGCCCTAATACAGTAGAAGAGCTTCATAAAGCAGATATACTTAGGGCTTCTGGGGAATCATAACAAAGTAGAATGGAGAACCTTGCTATTCCATAATGATGTTAGACCTATAGCAGTGTTTACAATGCTGCTCCAGTGTCATAAAAGGCAATTAGTTATGGATCGATTAGCCAAATGGGGAATCCAAGTGAACTCAAGATGCATTCTATGTATGGCTGCAGAAGAATCTCATCTCCATCTCTTTGGTGAGTGTAGCTTCTCCAAAGCAGTATGGATAAGATTATTGAGATGACTGAGATGGTTGCAGCTATTGTATGCTCCAACTAATTCTTGGCAACAAGTGTTTACATGGCTACTTTTCCAATCCAAAGGTAAGTCACTGAAGGCAAAAATACTCAAGATGATGTATGCAGAACACAACTATGTGATTTGGTAAGAGAGGAACAATGGAATGTTTGAAGATCAAGCAAGGAATGTAGAACAGATAGCTAGGAAAGTGGCATGCATATGCAGCATTAGAGCACAAGGAGGAGTGAGGACAAAGATGCAGCAGCTTCATTTCTAAGGCAAAATAACAACTCAAAGACCAGCGGACAAGATACTACTTTGAGGATTTATGTACTGCTTATAGTAAAGTTATAGAGATAGGACTATGTATGGATTGTAGCAAGTCGATGATGACTATGCTGAATTGTAATGATTGCTCTTGGTGATTAATGAAATATTCTAATTACCGAAAAAAATTGCATACTTACAAATTTCGATCTTACATTATCCTCTTCTCTTTGTTCTCATGATTCGCAAGTCCACTTTTACAACCCTAATGAAGAATGTTGAACTTTCTAATTTTCATAAAAAATTGAACATATCAAACGCGCAGACAGATCGATCATTAGTTAATTAGAAGCATATTTTTCTATTCATATTGACTTGATTATATGCATCTTATAATCTGTTATTGATATTTATAAATTATAAATTTAAAATATAGATTATTCAATGCTAAAATATAAATTGGAAAACTGAATAATGTGACCTCATCCAACTTAATTAGGTCCTTTTTAACTATATATGTATAGTATCATGACTTTCTGCTGTGTTAAAAATTGAATTCATGTCATCCAATATTCAAATAATAGGATGGATTACGTGAGTATAAATTTCTCAAACAAAATGTTACTCACACCCAACCTAAGTATACTCTATAACTAGATTCAATTCTCTCTCCCCTTATAATAAATTATCTTATAAAGGTGTATAAGCCAAGGCCAAGTTTTGATGGAAAATTTCACGTGTTGGGTCTTTCATTTTAGGCTCGACTTAATTTGGACCACTTGAAATCTTTTATTTCCTTATAAAAAAAAGTATTATTTTTCCCTTTTTGGTTACTTATCAGCTGGTCAGATAATAGGTTTAGAAATTCTGGATTTTGCAGTAGCGGGTTAAGTGATTTACCCTTTTGGCCATTTATGGAATGGTGGTATTCATATTTGTGATACTCTTCTGTGATTGAAGCCTCCTTTATTTAGAGTCCGAAACTTTTTTGATGCTTTTTTGTACAAAAAGCACATTTTTAGTGTTAAAAAAAATGTTACATTAATAAGCATTTCGCAGTATTATACTGCGAATTAGGGTAATTCGCAGTATAATACTACGAAATGCCCTTTTTTACTGATTTTTGGCCCCACAAATAATAATTAACTGACATAACAATAATTTAAATACATAAAACGCAGTATAATACTGCGAATTCCTTTAAAAAATTCTACACCCCAAGCTCGGACTTGCCTTATTTATAGGCGTTTCAATTTTATGAAAATTCATTCAATACTTAACTTCAAACATACGTTCATCATTCTCTCTTCTCCTTATCAATCATTTTTTTGCAATGTCTGAAGTGCCAAAAATAAGGGTTTCACTGTATTGGGGGGGTGAGGTTGTGGTGGAGAATAACTCTGTGAGGTATAGCTCACCTCCACAGTGTCATGTTAAATTGCCGCTTACTATGGAGTAAGATACATTAGTATCGTTGTTACGTAAAAAAATGAGTGAGCGGAGGTGTTCGGTTAACCTTAAAGTAACCGGTAGATTTCCGTATTCAGTGACTCCGCAGGGGTTTGCTTATTATTCTGAGTTTAACATCGAGGATGATGAAACTCTTAGAGATTTTTTGCGGATTCCGGATGAATACAGGAAATTTATTGTAATAAAATTATTGGAAATGTACGTCAAGGTGGAAGACATTCCCAGTAATGAGGGCGTGCATAGCAGGGATAACCCCCAGTCATCGGGTGCTTATTCTGGAGCAGTTTTTGCCGGACAGATTGCTGATGAAAGAGCTTGCCTTGATTTAAACTTGTCACCACCGGCAAATGAGCAACCACAAAATAATTTTTCCACTTTATATAATCAACAAGACGACTGGTAAACTTCAATTTTACTACGCTTTAGTGATGTTTTTTTTATGTTTTAATTGGATTTGTATTAACACTCATATTTTTTATAGGGGGTACCGTCCGGATATGAATTTTACTAGTTATGACCCCGCCCTAGTTGGAATATGCGTAGGTCTGGAGTATTGGACCACGGTGGTCCATCCGAGGGTCATCACCAACATGAAAATATCCATCATGAAACGTCAAGACAATACGATTTGTAAGTAAAGTGATATAGCTATATCTAAAGTATTTTTCCTGAGTTTTGGGTAACTTATCTTTGTGTTCTTTTTGTGCAGTGAAAACGAGCTTCTTGAAGCTCCTGACCTCACACAATTGCCCATAGACGACGTATTTACTCGTGATTTGGCAAATGCGCAGAGTCAGGAGGATGATAGTGATTATGACAACAATGCGGATGAGTCTGGGGATGACACACCCTTCCATGATGAGGGTGATGATAAGGAGGAGTGAATGTTGAACCTGAGCTGACGAGGGAGCATGTTCCTCCACCTCCCACTAGACCAAGAGTGTACGAGTCTCACGTGCCATTTCATGAGCGGAATATTCCCTACCTTGATAATTTGCCAAGCATGCCTAACGTGGATGCCCTCACAAGGGATGATGATGAATTACGGTCAGCGATGTGGGATGAGTCTAGAACAGCTGTTCTGACAAAGGGAATGTATTTCCCCGATAAAGCTCGCCTAATTAGGGCTGTAAAAATCTACAGTATAAGAGAGTGTCGTGAGATGACGGTAAGTGAGTCAACTACGGAGAAATACAAGGTTGTATGCCGTAGGTGGTTGATGGGTTGTCATTGGATGCTACGTGCCACCAAGAAGAAATCAGGTTTGTGGAAAGTGGGTAAATTTATTAGCGAGCACAGATGTGAAATGGACACATTCAATGAGAATCACTTCAACTTGGATGTGGACTTGATTTCCCTGGTATTGATTCCATTTTTGGAAGTGTCCATTAGGTTCAAGATTAAAGAGTGTATTACAGCCGTCCACCAGGAGTATGGTTGTACTATAACCAAAAGAAAGGCATATCTCGGTCGCAAACGTGCCTTTGAACTTATTTATGGCGACTGGGATAAGTCTTTTTCAAATCTGCTCAGGTACATGGCCGCACTGCAACACTTTAACCCCGGGACTGTTGTTGAATGGAGGCGTGAGCGGAGTCCGGACAGACCGGAATATATTTTCAACTATGTGTTTTGGTCATTTAAACCAGCAATTGATGGTTTTGTGAATTGTCGTCCTGTAATTTCCATAGACGGTACTCATGTCTATGGAAAGTATGATATTAAGCTTTTGATTGCAGTTGCAGTAGATGCCAACGGACAAATATTTCCACTAGCTTTTGCCATTTGTGCCAACGAAAGTGAAGAGACGTGGACGCTTTTTTTGAACCACTTGAAGCAGCACGTTGTCAAATAGCGTTCAGGTATTTCTCTAATATCTGATCGGCATGGTAGTATTTTAAGTTATGTACGTCACTTGCCTGAATGGCATGAACCATATGCATACCACCGTTACTGTGTGAGGCACCTGAAGGCCAATTTCCAAAAAAAATTTCCTGACAAGGCCTTACATGACTTAATGTGGATGGCTGCAACTGAGCACCAGCAGTGCAAATTCACGAGGCGCATGGAAGCGATCTGGCAGATAGATCCACGAGCCTATACTTGGTTGATGCAACATGAGGTTCACATGTGGACATTGCATGCTGATGGCGGCAGACGATGGGGAGCCCTCACTACAAACGTGTCGTAGTCTTTCAACGGCTTGTTGAAGTCTGCCCGTGGATTGCCTGTCACTGCCATGGTCCGCATGAAATTCAAACAGAGTGCGGAGAGGTTTGTTGAAAGGCATGCAGCTACATCGGCATTGATGGACAGGGGTGTTGAATTTATGCCAATACCCATAAGAAGATTTGAAAGGTCCAGGAGGCGAGCACGGTGGCATTCATTTCTTCAGTACGATCATGAACGGGGTGTTTTTGAAGTTAAGATCGCTATCAACGGACACCGTGGGAATAATCTACAGACGGTGAATGAAAATAGAAGGTTATGTTCATGTGGGAAATGGACCATCTACCACATGTCGTGCGCACATGCGTTGAAGTGCTTTCAACAAGTTGGATATGGGGCAACAAACTATATTGATAGGCAATACAGTGTTGCTGCATACGTAGACACGTATAGT